CGTCTTGACTTTGCTCATATGTATAAATATGTATGTATATGCATATATGTGTACATATATACACATTGACTTTGACTTTACTCATACAAATAAATATGCATAAATATGTATGTGTGTGTATATATATAAATATATATATATAGAGAGAGAGAGAGATAGAAAGATAGACAGACACAGAGATAATCTCTGCCAATGCGGCAATGTTTATGAAAAATCAGTTTTCAGAAAATTATATTTGGTTTCATTGAGAGATACACTCTCCTAGAACAGAAGCTGCAAATTGTGAGTCTGTGGGCTGAAATAGCCCCGAGAGCCTGGTTGCATTTGTCCAAGTATTTTGTAGGTATTTTATTGTTGCTGTTGTTGTTGTGTTCTTATTGTTGTAGTTGTTATTACTTAACCTTTAACAATCAGGGGATTACACAAAGAAACCCAGATTTCCATTTTTTCCTGAAATATCAGAGAAACCTATAAGAAATTGTGCGCAGTTCAAATGCTGGCAATGCTGTGATTTTAAACTTCAAATGGCAACAATTTAAGGTCTTCAATCCCTTCATCTTGATGTTTCTCTTCCGTATCAAATGGTGTAAGCTACAAGCACGGAAATGCTTACCTAGAATGCTCCTTGGCTTAATGGGGTATTACATGACATCCTATTCCACCTGTAATTTTTTCCCCCAATTTCTATGTTATAACAATTTTTCCTCCATAAAGTTTTTCACATTTGGGCCTATTTTCTTCTTCTCTTTGATATGACTTTCATTCAGGTCATTTTTTCTCACTTCAAGGCTGCTAACTGTAGCTGTCTGTCTTAGCCATCACCACCGCTTTCCTTTAACCTTTTCTCTTCCAGCTGCACCCCATTTTGCACACCAATTACATATTTACAGGCTCATATCTCATGAGCCTTTCTTCAGTTTCTTGATTCTTGTCCTCAGACCTGCAGTGACAACACAGGACCAATGTCCGCTACTTAACCTACACTCAGCACTCAATTGTTTTCTCATTTCATTTTGCATTATTCCATACATGAATAATTAGCGAATATGCCCATTTCCCTAGCATGGAAATAGGCATCTTCCAGCCTCTGATGCCTTTGCTCTCAGCATCACCTCATTCTCTCCACCTATGCAAAGAGATTGTGATCGCCTCAAGACTGGAATTCCTAGAACACCTTGGCCCACAGTTTGCATGATGTAACTCATCTTGTGTGGTGCATATATTTCATTTTTTTTTTTTTTGAGACAGTCTTGCTCTGTTGCCTAGGCTGTAGTGCAGTGGTGTGATCATAGCTCACTGCAGCCTCAACCTCCTAGGCTCAAGCAATCTATGGCCTTAGCCTGTCCAGTGGCTGGGACTATAAGGGCATGACATTACACCTACCTAATTTTATTTTCTGTTTTTATTTTTTTGTAGAGACAATATCTCACCATGTTGCCCAGGCTAGTCTCAAACTCCTGGGCTCAAGGGATCTACTCATCTTCTCTTCCAAAAGTGCTGGAATTATAGACATGAATTACTGTGCCAAGCAATGCTGCATATTTTTAAACCATGTCTTGTTTCTCTGATTATCTTAAAACAGGGCTTCTCCAAGCACGATTTTAAATGAGTGCTTTATTTGGGTCTGTCAGTGGTGTGTCTCAAGCAAAATTTACTCTAATTTTTGATAATAGCTCTTTGAAACCACCACTGATGTGAACAGGCCCATCACCCATCTGGGGGAGAGTCAAAGGCATTGTTAAGAGACTCTTTGCCTTCCTGGCAAAAGCAAGACAATTGAATGAGATGAACCAGTAATAAGGTCCTTGAGTGCAGGAGCGTGTTTCTTTTTTGTATTGTTCTCTGCCACACTCATACCTCGTCTCTAGTCACTCCAGTTAACAACATTGAATTGAATTGGATAAATGACATGAATGTTTGAAGTCGAGAAGTTAGAAATAAATAGCAGTGCTCAGAATGGTGATGGTGGTAGTAACTCCTGTTGCTTGCATGTTCACTCTGGAATCAAGCACTGCACTCAGTGCTTTGTGTCAGTGACTCCAGTGAAGTGCTTCCCCAACCCTAATAAGGCATTGCTGTGATTACTCTTATTTTAACAGTGAGGAGTATTCAGCTGGAGTTCCAGAGGGAGGCAGCAGAGCCACTGTCATGTGAGATGTGACCACTTTGTCATTAATAAAAAAACACTTTTTTGAACAACTGAAAGTATCTGTATTATTTTTTAAAGGAGAGTGAGGGAGGGTGGAGGTTGACACATTTAAAATCCTGATTGATAACTGTTGTGGAAGCCACTGTAATAAAGTGGTTTAATGAAAAGAACAAAATTCGGACCTGAAAGACCTAGGCTGGAGATTCAATTTGCGGCTTAACAGGCCTGCAAATGTGAGCAAAATCTAAAGTCTTTCTAAGCCTAAGTCCCTTAATTTGTAAAATGGAGATAGTACTACTGCATACCACCTTGTTGTAGGGATTAAATGAAAAAATTTATATAAATACTATAAAAAGTGTTGTTGCTACTATCGATTGTTCAAAGTGTGAACTAAGCTCTCAAAAAATATAATTATATTATCCTGAGTAATGCTTTTAAGAGGGGAAAAAAAGAGAGAAATAATGAAATCACATCCTCATAATCTCATAAAGCAAGTATTGTAGTCCCCAGCTAGGAAACTGAGGCACAGGGAGGTAAAGTAACATGGCACAATCACACAGCTAGTAGATGGCTGAGCTGCGATTTAAAAACCATGCCTGCCTGACTCCAAATGCCGTGCTCTTTTTACTGCACCACTTGGCCTTTTTAAAAAATAAGCCAACCCATATACTTTTTCTTAACATTGAAAAAAAAAGACAGTTATGTTGGAAAACTAACTCATCCTGATAATTCCCAATTAAGATGTTGTCATCTAGCATCTGGCTCAATTTCCTTTTATGAAATATAGTAAACATAATTTGAGTATAGCTTAAATGAAGTGTCCAAATGAGATAAAACAGGTCACCTGGGAAATTGGATTTTATAGATTACAAGAATTTAATATCTAAGTTGTACTTAATGGACACAATTCTTTTTTTAAAGAAAATTCTTCAGGAAACAATTGATTGGTCTATCAATTTCATTATTATTTCTGCATAAGACATCTGTAGCCTGAAGTAATTAAAGTAAAAATAAATAATATGAACTTCACCATAAGTAGTAGTGAAGAACATCTCTATCTTCATGGATTTGAGATTCATAAGAAAAACACAGGGGATCTTTGATGCATGCCCTATTTTTTTTTTCTTTCACGTGGTTTTTAAAGGATTTTATTTAAAAGAACTTTTCAAATAAGAAGTTAGAGAATTTTCAAACTTTTAACAGAAATGAATCTGAGAACACTTTATGTCTGTATTTGTCCTGACGTAGAGTCCCTTAAATAGATGATGTCCTACTATTAAAATTGGTTGCTGGGCAATTGGGCAGAAAAAATTCTTTTTTTTCCTTTTAAATAAGTATATTTTTATCATTTTTAAATTTTATTTATTATTATATTGTTGAGACAGAGTCTTGCTTTGTCACCCAAGCTAGAGTGCAGTGGTGCAATCTCAGCCTACTGCAACCTCCACCTCCGGAGTTCAAGCAATTCTCCCACCTCAGCCTCCTGAGTAGCTGGGACTACAGGCATGTGCCACCACACCCGACTGATTTTTGTATTGTTAGTAGAGACACAGCTTCACCATGTTGGCCAGGCTGGACTCGAACCCTGTCCTCAAGTGATCCACCAGTCTCAGCCTCCCAAAGTGCTGGAGGTGTGAACCACTGTACTCGGCCATGAGTGTATTTTTAAACAAGGGTGGGGGTAGGGTGAGATTAAGAAAAAGAGTGGATATGAGGGTTTGATGGAGTTGGAGGTGTTGATTTCAGCACTGCAGAAAAACATTTTTGAGCACAGATCATGTTCTGACAAGTAACTTAAACATTTTTTCCTTTGGAACATAATGAAGTGGTGGTTAAATTCACATGCTGTAGAATCACACAACCTGGCATTGAATCCAGCTCTGGCACTTCCTAATTTTGTAATTTTAGGCAAGTTACTAGAACTCTTTAAGGCTCTATTTTCTTATTGGTAAATTAAGGATAATAGCTGCTTCACTGGGTTGTCATGATGATTCAGCAAAATCATCAATAAATGTCAATAAACATTGTCAATGTTGATATTATTATTGTCATTATTTTGACATTGTCTAATTTACTTGGCATATTTATTAGAGTTTCCTATGATCTTATAAAGAAATTTTTAAGAATGTCAACTACTTAAGAATTGTCCCTTTAAAATTTAATAAAGTCATGAAATGCTGAAAAAGACACAGCATAACTATTTAGATAAAATATCAAATGTTTCCTCTAAGAGACATTAAAAGTGATCATAAAATCAAAAAATTATAAAACCATGCCTTCTAGTAAATAATCACAGGTTTAGATGTATTTTCAAAAGTGCACAAATCTGTACTCATCATAGGAGAACATATTGATTTGTGCGTGTATTTCAAGCAACCATTTTACGCATGCAGTGCCCATGGCCGACAGCATTCTCCCCTGGGAAGGTGGCTTCTCTAATTGCAGTGAATGGTGATTCTATTTGTAGACATATTTTCCTATAGCAAGCATTCCTTTCTGTGATTATTATTTAAAAATACTCGTCCTTAAATTATTTAGTCTTCTTGGCTATAAAGGAGAAAAACCCACAACACTGCAAAGACCTCACAGATAATATACATCTGAGTAGAAAATGCATATTAAGTCTTACTAACAAAGTAATCTATATTTCCTGCAACACAGGGACCATAAGAAGCATTTTAGTAATCAAGATCTTCAACATGTGTGTATTTGGAAAAAAAAGAAGTGAAAATCAGAAGTACTACTATTTGAACTGCCAGGACATTTTTCCTCCTTCTCCTGTGCTATTTCTTGCTTAAAAACAAAAGCAAAATTTTCACACCAATAGAAAATCAAGAGCAAGAAAACTTACCTTCTTTCAACCAAGAAATGTTATTTTTATCATTTTCAAAATGCTCAGCTGTTCTTACTTTTATCTTTTCCAGCTCAGTTTCTGACATCTAAGTGGAAACAGAATTTGTGATATAAAAAATTCATTAAGAGCCCAAATTTATAACATTGAGTTTTATATTTAGAAACTGCTGCCATATTATGGGAAAATTTTATCTCTATAGTTTTTCAGTTCACTGTCCAATGTTAAGTCTTAACATTTTATTCATTTGTATTATTTTAAAACATTGACATTGAAAACTAAACTTTATGTTTCCTTGTCTAGCAACAAAGATTGTTATAAGACCTTACAGTTTCTGAATGTGAAAGAATAACAGATTAACAACTAGCCATGGATTTGTAACAAACAAACAAACATTCAGTGGCTGTTTTAGTATTTTGTATACCTATAGATAAGCATGCTGCAAAGTGATATGCAAAGAGACAAATAACAATAAAACACAAAAGCAAAAGCATCTTTTCAGGAATTTATTGGGTGGGAAGGAAGAACCTTATGATCTAAGCCAGGCCAAGTTGAGCTCCCTGAAGGTGTTGACCGGACCTATTATGCACCTTCAGTACAGTGCACTTGACTTTCATGGCTTGCTCGCAATGAAGTAGGGCACTCTGCTTGAATCAGCACCACAAGGTACTTACCTGTGTGTTCCAAAGGGAGGCCCAAGGTGTGGGACTGGGGAGCAGCGAACCACAGCCTCCCTTGTCTCTGGATGTCCAGCATTCCTCTCTCCTGACAGAAATGAGCGAAGAAGCAAACACACTCCCTCCCTGGGTGGTGCTAGATTTGTATCGCTGCCAGAAGCATCCAACTTGCGGCTGAGTTTTTTTTTTTTTTTTTTTTTTTTTTTAAGGTAATATAAAGCCTGTGGTTGAAAACAATAAAAACCTTCTCCAAGCTAACACTTATTTAAAATGACATTCTGCAAAATAGGAAAAAAATAATGAATTCTTTTCAACTGGACCAAGTTTCTTCCATCCCCGCTATTCATTACTTAAGGTTAATATTAAAAGATGTAGAAAAAAATGTATTGAAACGTATACACAGGCTATTTGGGTTAAAAGAAAAAAGGGAAATCTTTAAAGCTACACTCTCTGGAAATTCATCCTGTAGTTGATAGTTTGAAAAGTGAGTGTTTTTTCCACCTAATAGTTTATAAAAAACAAGAAAACATTTCAAAAATTTTTGATCATCTGCAGATATTCCAAAGGGAGTTTGAAATAACATTCCAAAGATAATATGTCATTAAATTCTTAGGTAAGGATAATACTGATTTTGCCAGGCATTGTGGCTTATGCCTGTAGTCCCAGCACATTGAGGAGGCTGAGGCAGGAAATGGATTGCTCCAGGTCAGGAATTCCAGACCAGCGAGGGCAACATAGTGAGATCCCATCTCTACAATTTTTTTTTTAAAATGTTTTAAATTAGCTGGTCGTGTGTGTATGTCTGTAGTCCTAGCTACCTGAGAGGCTAAGGTGGGACAATCCATTGAGTCCGGGAGGTCGAGGCTACAGGGAGTCACGTTTGAGCCACTGCACTTCAGCACAGGCAACAGAGAAAGACCCTGTCTCAAAGGAAAAAAAAAAAGGAAAAGAAACAAGGATAATAGTATTTTCAATGGAAGATTAAAAACAGGAAACACAACCATTGGGTACACATGATAATAAATAGCCCACCATTTCTAAAAGTTGCATTTTTCTCATCAAGGAAAATAATATTTATATTTTGTCCCAAGGTGGCTTGTGTCCTCTAGTGTCTTTACCTGGACAATTGTCTATTACCAGATTCCCTTGTATCCATTTCACCTCTTTCCCCAACTTCATTTCTTTTTGTATTTTGCTCCTACTATATATAATCTTTTAAAACTACCTTCATCAGCCAGTTTTCATACTAAAATAACTGTGTTTCTCCCATTATCAGTAAGATAAATTTCAGATTTCTTAGATGGCCAAGGCAGACCTTGACTGGTCAGATTCTATACCACAATTTTCAAACTGTGACTCACAGAGGCTTAAGATTTCTTGGAGGTTCCTAACATTTTACTCCAACTTAATTGCATTGTGGCTGTTGTTTCAAGGGTCTTGCCTCTGTCTTCAATACTCCTAGAAATATTTTTATCTCCAGTCCTACCTTGAAGTCTACTTGATCTCTCTTATCTGGAGCTGATCTTGTCCTTCTCTGATCTTTTGGGGACTTTTGATATGATCAGTCTCCATTTTAATCCTCTGTAAACCTTTCTTATCTTCCTGACAAAACTATAACCACACCCACCCCCCTCCGCCCCCTGCCATCTAAGGCCCAGCCCCTCAGTATTTTATGCATTTGTCTCAGTGTTTATCATGATAGCCCACAAATTAATAATCATTAACAAATTAAAACAGCATATCAAAAACTGATCACCGTGTTTTCCTTTGTTCCAAAGTTGTAGAATACATATAATTACCAAATTCCCTTAATTTGTCTCTTCTCCATGCATAGTTATAGTGTTTTATGTCACTTTCTCATACATTTGGAAACCTAATCTAATTCCCTTACTAGTTTAATCACTGTCCTTTGGAAAAGCAAATTATCTAAACTTTACATATTAGTGGGGTCAGAAAGACATTTGAAAAACAATAATCACAGTGATCTTTAAATGAGCAGAAACAACACAAGAGATAAAGAAAACCAAAGTCGAAAATAACTAGATGAGAAAAGACAATTAAGAACCTGGAGAGAAAGAACGAGGGACACAGCTGACGATACTAGTCCTCCTAGTTTGTTTTCAGTTTTATTTTAATATTTGACCATATGATTATCAATATTATTTCTCAACAGAAATATATATATTTTAAAATTCTAAAATGGATTTGGATCACTGTAAGGTTACAAGTCATGTAATCTCTTCTCTCCATATGCTTTCTAAGGCAGAGAACCCCTTCCTACCCAAAAATCTGTGATGCTTCCAGGGTTCTTTTTGAAGGCTTTCTAAGAGTCTGCGTTCATTCTTATATACTTGTATACTTATGTCCAGCTAAACAGTTTTTAATTTTCTGTCCCAAGAGCAATCCACTATTTAAATTCTTGTCTGAATTTCTCACTTTGGAGATTATGGATTATTCTTTGATTACAGTTTATCCTTTGATAATTCTTGACTTTTAAATGCTTTCCACATGCCTGACTTTTCCAATTACTATGATCTAATTATTGAAGTCCGAGTACTAGAATAGAATCCCTTTGCAAGGGTTTGTTCTGAGGAGGAAAGATTTATGAAGATAGTGTGGTGACTAATTTGAACCTAATGTCCAATTTCGCTGTTGTATTTTCAATATGTGGTTGGTCCTAACTCTTGGAATCATTCTGTTGTTTTTCTTTATTATTTTTCTCTGTTTGGCCTCTAACTGCCATTTGATTTTTGCCTATGCCCTTTGAACTGGCTTTTGTTCTTAAGAGACTGTAACATTTCTCAAATTTTCTATATAGAATTTTCTTTCATTCTGAACAGCACCATTTTTCAAAGTTAGACAAACTTTAAATTTTATCGTTGCAATCGTTCCTTATGAGAGCTGTAGATATTAATTAGCATAATATTCCATTTTTGTCATCCACTTCTTTAGAAGTACGGTAAGAACAGACAGCAAGTACTTTTTCCTGGATCAACTTTACATCACTTGTCGTTATTGGACATTAAGGGTATTCCACAATGATACCAACATTTAACCCATTTATTCATCCACCTAGTGATATCCTTGGGCCCTCAGAATTCCCATCTGGGTAATGGAGTCTGGTTTGGACTAAGAATGGAGTCTCTTGAGCTGGGCTGGGCCTTGAAATGAATGAAGCGAACCCACAGTGGATGGCTGGGAGTAAAGAGAAATCAAACTCGGGGGGACTTCAGGCAAGACAGACTGGGAAACCACAGAGGTTCAATCTAAAGCTTAAAAGTGACAGGCCAGCCTCGGACATCAGGCAAATCTCATTAGAATCCAAGGAGAGTAAATACATCTTTAGACAATCCCCGATGCAAAGAGTGTTCATTGTGCCCATTTAAAATAATGAACTAAACGATTTATAAACAGGGATGTGCTCTCAAGGTTCAAGGTTTCTTCTTAAGGTCTGCTTTCTTTTAAAAATAGATACACTGTGAATGTACACTTCTTTTTATAATTCTGTTTCTTTTATTTTGATTCAAGCCTCAGTATTTCTAATTCCGAATCAAAATCTGATCCAGAAATAAATCTTTAAGGGCAAACTATCCAGAAGAAGACAATATTTGCTAACAGAAAACCTGAAAGATTATCACACATTTCATGTTGTTTTTCCTGTTAAAAGAGAATTAAATGCTGGCATCTAAAGCCTTTTGAACAAACAAATAATCAGTTGCTATCCTATGAGGTTTTTTTTTTTTTTTTGCCTTAAAAATATCACGTTATTACTTTTCAGTGTTTTTAAAACAATAAAATTATAAATATATATATATAATGTAAGAACATGAAATTAATTAATGTGTAAGTGTGTCATCAACTCAGATTACTGTATTCAAGGACTATAATTTGTAGAGATTTCTGAAAGATTTGTGGATTAGATCCAATACACATGATATAAGAAGGTTTACTACTCTGTTGAAAGTATGTTTTCTGCTACAGAATGGAATCTCTACTACTTATTATACTTAGTTAAAAAATTTAAATAGCCATTTTAATGACCAATATATACTGTCAAATATATTACATTTAAAAAATTCTTTTTGGAACTTTTGGTGTTGATATGAAAATACACATGGTATAAATCAACACTGGTCTAAGGTATCAAAGGTAATGGTAAATAAAACAAGAGGAAAATTCCACATTTGCAACAAAGGTTCTCCCAGGAGAAGGTTACAGCTAACACCACAAGGCATGCCAGTTCAAGGATTTATGAAATGTTAGATCTCACCAAAAGTTTAGGTATGAAAAATAACACTCAGTGTTATAAAATGCATTCAATTTTATCCTTGTTTCATGCCAGGTGATTAAAAAGAGTGCTTATCTTGACCAAATTATTTTTATACCTGCTTTTTTTTATCTGAGACCTTGGCTGGCATTGAGAAATCATTTAAGGATAAACATGTGAATAAAACTTGCTAGTAGGTATATTACGAATATTCTTGGTTCCTCTGGGGATTACAGTATGCATACTTAATATAGTTCACATAGTATAAATGTTGCTCCATTTCATATTATGGGTAATAGCTTTACAACTATATAATTTCATTTACACACTCTCCTTTTTGTACTATTATTTTCATATATGTCACATCTACACATGCTACAGTCCCACAAGCATTGTATGTGTGTGTGTATATATACAGGCTTACAAGCATACTTCTTTTTATTGCATTTTGCTGTATTGTATTTTGCAGACACTGCATTTTTTGTTTGTTTTACAAGTTAAAGGTTTGTGTCAACCTTGCGTTAGTCAGGTCTGTTGGCACCATTTTTTTCAACAGAATGTATTCACTTCATGTGTCATGGTAATTTTTGGCAATAAAATATTTTTAATTAAGACAAGTACATTTTTAGACATAATGTTATTGTACATTTAGTAGACTACAATACAATGTAAACATAACTTTTACACACACTTGTTTTTTTAAAAAAACAAAAAATTGGTGTAACTTGCTTTATTGTGATATTCACTCTATTGCAGCAGTCTAGAACTGAACCTGCAATATCTTCAAGGTATGCCTGTCTGTATGTATGTATAGGAATATATACACACATATACAAACACACTG